GAAAGGAAATTAAGACTTTTAAAACTAAAATGGAAAAGATGCTCGACTTAGGGTTTTTATTCAGGTTTTCAGGATTATAATTATATAGGATGCTATCTAGTTGCTTGCGAGATACTATAGAGCATTAATTATTCTTGTTGAACAATTTACTTAAACTAACGTTCAAATAAATAGGTCTAATGACCAGATGGCCGCAATTGACAGTGTCGATTGATTATCTATGGGACAATCGACCGATACACTAACTCATCATCGACCGATTTCTGCTAGGAAGATCGATCGATGACTCCGGTCAAGCAATGCACATGAGTTAACCTAAACTCACAAAAGATTTTTAAATCAAATTATGTCAATTATATTTCTAATAAATTTTAGCATGATAAGGATGTGTTCAGGATATTTAGAATCACTTAAATGTCTCTAATCCAACCTAAATATTCCAGGATTCAATGTTTCTAGTTAGCTACTCTAGAACCATGAGCAATTAGAACATCCTATCAATTAGTATCACAACTAGTAATCATATAGTTGGGGCTCATCCCTCTAACCTATTTAAACCCTAAATCTAACAAGTAAACTACTCAGACATAGCTAAGCAATTCATAACACAAGTAAATAAATAAAATTGCATATTATAAATAAATAGATAGGTAGAAAGCATTGGAGTTCCAATCTCAAAAATCTCTGAAGATCTTCTCTCCAAACTATAAAACTCTAAAACTTGCTATGAAAAGAATGAAAAACTCTATGTGTATTATTCCTGTCTCTCTATTCTCCTCTCTTTTGCCTCTAACACTTTGGCAAAATATATAATCTTAGGTTAAAACTCGTTAGGGGTAAAATCGTCATTTGGTGATGATTGGACTTCAAGTTAACTTGGCTCTCGAATAGGCTTCTGGGTCTTGAAAATCGATCGATCATACAGGATGCATGTCGATCGATCCGGGTCTCTCCGTGTCGACCTCGTGATCGAGTCTGAATCGAGCGCTTCTGCGAATTCTCTCCAAAATGCTCCAAAAACATCATTTTCTTCCAAAATACTCCTGAGCTCATCAATATGCTTAAAAGCTTCTATACTATAGTAAATAGTAATAAAAACATTAATATATCATGACTAAAAACAGGTCAAAATCATGGTATATCATCGCTGAAGCTTTATCATTCTTGTGTGAAAGCCTCCTCCATAGACTCTTCTCCTTTACCTATCATCTCAGTAATAAGTAGTGCTTTAAGCTTTTCAAAAGGCTGTGAGAAACATTTGCTATGCACTCTGGATTTCTTGACACCATCTGAGAAGTTAGGAATCAATGATAACTGAGGATCTCCCTTGATCATTTTTCTCTTCTTCCAGTTCTTCCTCTTTTTTTTCCCCAGACTTGTCTGTTTCTGTCTCTGCGTACTGAGATACCCGAAGGATGTCAATCGACAATGAACGGGTTATGTCGATCGATGGTATCTGGTCTATGTCGATCGATGCTGCTTTTGTTGAACCTTTGTCGACTTTACTTCAACATCTTAATCCTCTCTTAGAAATTTATACGTGATGATGAGTATCCAAGACCCTAATGTAGGAACCTGGTTGCATACTTCTATCTGGTGGAATAGGAGATTCAGCTTCAAATACAAAGCGGGGTACCACAAACTTCACAGGGTCATGTATCCTCTTCACTCTTTTGTAAATCCCAGCAGCTTCTTCTGTGTAGATAGGTGGTATTTGATGTTTAAGGACAACAATGTGTGAGGCCTCAGACTCGTTCACTCTTTCTATAACCGATTCTATCTCGACTGTGTATCCTACCATCTCGTCCAAGCATGGGTGTCGATCGATGAAAATGAGTGGGTGTCGATCGATGATGTAAGGTGGATATCGATCTCTTTCATCTTGTTGGCGTTGATCGATGCTAAGTTTTTGGTGTCGAGAAAATGTATCGAGTGGGTTCAGATCGATGCTTGTGTTTGGTGAAGACGCCTGATCTTCTCGTAGTATGATGATCGTCATAAGGCTTTTTCTCTAAGTCTTGATCCATATCTCCAAACCATTCATCTAGCTCCATACTGACTTTCCTACTTGAATCCAAATCCCCAAGTTTTTCTCTATCCTTTTGCTCCAAGAGAATTCCCATGGTAATTTTTCTGTCTACATCTGGAGCATGAAAACAACTTAATACATCATTTCTCTCTAGTATTGAGTCTGCAATGTCCTGAAGACAACTTGATCTTTCATGGATGTCAAGTGGTGTCGATCGACAACTGCGGTTAGTGTCGATCGATTCCGAGGTCCTAATGTCGATCGATGCTGAGGTCGAATCACTAACATCAACTTCGTCCTCTCTGCTCAGCTCTCCACATTCAAGTTGCTCATCATCCTCTACCATACAACTCAGCATAGATTTCATCTCGATCTTTAGATTTGCTTCAGTATCATAAAGAAAGTTGGTGAGGAAGGCGTTCGTGATGTCATTCCATGTAGTTAGAGAACCTTGTGACAACTTCTTGAACCAGCATGCTGCTTCTCCAGAAAGAGAGTATGGGAACAGTTTGCAGATGTAGTAATCTTCAGAGACTCCATTGCACTTAATGGTTGATGCTAGATCTTCGAAGGATTCGAGGTAATTAATGGGATCTTCATGAGGATGACCATGAAAGGGATGCTGCCTCACAAGAGAGATATAAGCAGGATTCAACTCAAAGACAGTACTCTGGTGTGTTGAGTGACGCAATGAAGACCTTTTAGCACAAGAATCCTTAGGCTTGTTGTAGTCTCTAAGTGAACCCTGTCGTTCAGACTCAGCATTCACATCAACAGCAGTAGCATCAGGTAGTGCAGCCACCTTCTCTTCCTTCTCGCAAGTAGTATTGATCAACGTTGAGGTATTGGCGTCGATCGATGTCATTTTGTTTGTATCGATCGACAATGAAGGGTTGGTGTCGATCGATACTCGCTTTTCTTCGCTAGGGATCGCTGCTTGGAGGGTGTCGACTGCCCTCTTAGACTTATGGATCACGCGTTCTAAATCTAGTGGCTCTATTAGCAAAAGCCATATTCCCTTGTTGCTTCTGGTACTCATATGTATGTATCTGAAAGACAAAAAAAAAATTTATGAGTTTTTATAACAAAAGTAAAACCTAGACTAAATCTAACTAAATAAGATCTAATGGCGATCAAATCTGTCCGGCAATGGCGCCAAATTTGATGTCACTCAAATTACCCTAAGGAGTGAATTACTCTCTCAAATAAGAGGTTCAGTTGTAGTACTTAGAGATCGAATTCACGAGGAGCTAGGGAACCCATTAGATTTAAACAGTTATGAATAATCTAGGTAGGTAAATGATAAAACAATAAATAAAGCAAGCAATAAATAAAACAGTAAACAAGATGAACAAGACAATTGTTCAGCTTGATGGAAGGATGGTTGCTAGACTTAGGATTTCTATTCAGGAAATAGGGATTATAATGATATAGGTTACTAAGTTGCTAATATATTAGAACTTAACTGGAAGTACAAATCTAACAACCTTCGTTGTATAGATAGTCTAATATCTAGATCTTGGATCTCAACTTTCTTTTATTGATCACAAGAAAGTGTCGATCGATAATTGTATAAGAATATCGGTCAATACACCTTTCACTCCGTCGATCAACTATCCTATTGGGATATCGATCGACGTGTTTCTAGTTAAGCCTTACGATCGGGTTGAATATGTGTTCACTAGGGTTCTTAAATCAACTTTCATATGCACCTAGCAATCCTAGCTCATAGAATTCAGTTCAGAGAAAAGACCAAGCTTTCGCAATTGCGCCTTATGATTCTAAGATCAGGGTTCTAGTTCATGACTCTAGAATACAAGCATTAAGAACAATCCTATGATGAATATCACAACTTAGCAAACCTATAGTTGGGGCTAATTCCTTTAACCTATTTGAACCATAAACCTAACAAGTGAATATATTCAGACATGATACTTGTCACAGAAATCATAGATGAATAGATGAAAAACATAAATCATATAAAACCAAAACCAATGGAATTCCAGGAGGACTCTGAAGGATTTCCTCCCTTCTGTCCTAGAACTTAGAACAATCAAAATAAAGCTTAGCCGTCAACAATGGCTTACAAAATACATAAATAGGGTTTCTGGTCGTCCAAGGGTATTCTGGTAATTTTTGGTAACTCCTGGGTCTAAATCAGTCATAAAATATGCACGGCCCGCGTTCTGGGATCTCCATCGATCGACAGAAGTAGTGTTGCATCGATCGATCTTCTTTTATCTTCTCAACAGGTTCCTCTCGCGAGGCAGATTGACCACTCTTCACTAAAACGAGCATAACCTCTGCTACAGGCTGCTGATTAACCTCAAACCGGTGGCATTGGAAAACTAACTCAAAGATCTATCTTGTGTCAGAAGATGGACGAAATCTAAAGGTTGGAAGGTTTTCATCTATAGCTAAACATCTGACGTGTCTGTGCAGTTCTGCACTCAAAGGGCTCCAAAAGACATAAAAATCACCATATTTCTCCATAACGTACCTGAATCTGTATATACTATAAAAAAACTTCAAAGCATAATAACTATATCTTGAAACACATATATACCATGGTTGAAAGTGGGTAAAATCCATGGTATATCACCATACACTTGCAATGCAAGGGAATAGTTATCATCTTTGTTCCATTTGCTTAGATGCCAATTTATTAAATTAACTTATATAAAAGTTAATTAACCATGAAACTGCACTTTATCAAGTAGGGTACACCTAATCTCGCTTTTGGTTTTGTTTCAATCCATATTTAATACAATTATACAGTATGTTCTTTAGTTCTAATTAATCTGATGTTATAGTTTGGATTCGATTTTAAGAATACGTATGTCTAATCTGATTCGGTATATTTTCAAGAATCTAAAGTCTGAGGCTTTGAACAAGCTCAAGAAATTAAAACTGGCAATTGTAAGTTACTTTTGTTTCGATTTTAACTGAATTGATAAGAAAGAACTGCAAATAGATTATAAACGTCTATATAATATATTCCGATCGAATCAATCGATATAGCAAAACGTATCCACAATCACATGTTTAATGAATGAATCCAATAAAAATAACAAGTAAACTCATAAATTTTGTTTTCTGATCTTCAGGTCAAGCAACAAGAACGTATCAAATAAGATTCAAAATCAAGAACGGACTATTGTCTCGAAGCAGTGTAGACCGTCAAGCTCCAGAGCAAACCTCGGAGTCTTCTGCACAAAACCCATCTTATTGCTTCTAGCTTTTTCCTTCTTCTGCGTTGGCTTTGGCGTTTGTGGTGCGGCAGGTTTAGGGTTGGTGGCGGAGGTAGCTTTAAACGAAGAAACCATAAGGTTTTTTCCCATAAGCTCTACGAAGAGGGCGTCGAAGGCACTGAACATCGAATTCATGATGATTAAGTAAATATAATAAACAAGACAAAGAGACTTCGAATTTTCAAGAGAGAGACTTTAGAAAGATAGATGTTTGTGATATTTTTATGATTTACAATGACGAAGAGAGTTTGTATATACATAAAGACCGTGTTGAAGGAAAGAGTGAGGAATATGGGTGGCTTTCTTAGGCAATCCATTCCCAAGTTGCTTCTTGGACGCGTAAGAAGCTACGCGCTGCGCGTTACGTAAGGCTGTTTCCTTTTTTTTAAAAGAGTTATTCTTAGGTTCACACTATAGGGTGAACCTCTAGGTTCACCAATCAATAGGATGCTGTTATTTCATATTTGATATTTTTTTTAAAAGGAAATAAAATCTTATTAAGTTATATTATGTTTTTAAAATAAAAATAGAAAAAATAAATAAAAAATAATAATATTAAAAACAACTAAAAAAAATATTTAATACTAAAATACTAAACCCTAAACCCTAATCCTAAACCCTAAACCCTAAACCCTAATCCTAGACCCTAAACCCTTGGGTAAATCATAAACCATTTGAAAAAATCTTAATCCTTGGGTAAATTAATACTAACCAATTATATTGTTTTTATTTATTTTTATCTTTTTTATTTTAAACACATGTTTTTATTTTAAAGATTTTTGTTTTAAATTGTTTTTTGCAATTATTACTGTTTTTATTTTATTTTTATCTTCTATTTTAAAACATAATATAATGTTAAAATATATTTTTAAAGATTTTTTCGTTTTTTGTAAATATTATAATTCTTATTATTCTAGTTTTATTTTAAAAACACAATATAATTTGACAAGATTTTGTTTCTTTTTTTTAACAGATATCAAATATAAAATAACATCTTCCTATTGGTTGGTGAATCATGAGATTCACCCTAGAAGATGAACCTAACAATAAGTCTTTTTTTAATATGTTTCTGTTGTAAACCAAAGTGAAATCTGTGTCTTATTCATGCTTTAGAGGTTCCATATATATATGGGATACAAGAACAAGATAAATGGAAAACATCCAATTCCTAAAGTAACAAGGAATTGGAAATACATAGAAAAGGTAAAAGAGCTGGCCGCCTAAAGCTAATGGGTCTCTCGACCATTGGGCCAGTCTAATCTATCTAATGGTTAAGGCCCATTCACTAACTGGTCCATAACACTCCCCCTTGAATGGCCTAACCGTATGGGCTTGTACCATTCTTAATGTTGCCTCGTTAAAACCTTATCTAGGAAAACCAAAAACCCAAGGTGGGAAAAATGGAAACCTCAGACAAGGAAAAAGAGTACAACACATGATACTCTCCCTGATGAATGCATCACTGAAAATGGCTCAGTGAACGCATCCCAATCTGGTACACGAACTTCTTGAACGTCTTGGTGGGTAAGGACTTGGTGAACATGTCGGCCAAGTTGCTGCTGGACTGAACTCGGACCACCCGGACTTCATTGGCCTTCTGCAGGTCATGGGTGAAAAAGAACTTGGGCAAGACATGCTTCGTTCTGTCTCCATTGATGTAACCTTCTTTGAGCTGATGTATGCAGGCTGCATTGTCTTCATAGATAACTGTTGGCTCGTCCTTCCCAATGCTCAAACCACTACTCACTCGGATATGGTTGGTCATGTTTCTCAACCACACAAGTTCTGTACTTGCCTCATACATGGCTATGATCTCAGCATGATTAGAAGATGTGGCTACTAGTGTCTGCTTCTTGGAACGCCAAGAGACTGCTGCACCACCGTACAAATAGATGTAGCCCGTCTGAGATCTAGCCTGGTGCGGGTCAGACAAGTACCCGGCATCCGTGTACCCGACCAAACTCTCCTTTGGTCGATACGAGTAGAACAAACCAAGATCCTTGGTTCCTTGCAAATATCTCAACAAATGTTTCTCACCATTCCAATGCCTTAAAGTCGGACAGGAGCTAAATCTAGCAAGTAGATTCACAGCAAAACAAATGTCTGGTCTAGTGTGGCTAGCCAGGTACATTACAGCTCCAATAGCACTGAGGTAAGGCACCTCCGGACCCAGTACGGCCTCGTCCTTCTCCCTTGGTCGGAATGGATCTTTCTCTGGGTCTAAGGACCGTACGGCCATAGGGATGGACAATGGATAGGCCTGGTCCATATTAAACTTCTTGAGTACCTTTTCTGTATAAGTTTTCTGATGCACAAGGATACCATCTTTTATGTACTCAAGCTGCAAACCCAAACAAAATTTGGTCTTACCAAGATCTTTCATCTCAAATTCTTTCTTTAAATACTCAACTGTTTGGGTAATCTCTCCAGGGGTTCCAAGTATATTCAGGTCGTCCACATACACTGATATAATGACAAAACCTTTGTTGTCAAACTTCTTTATAAAAATACATGGACTTATTAGATCATTCTTATAGCCCTCTTTGACTAGGTACTCGGATAACCTGTTGTACCACATACGACCTGATTGCTTTAAACCATATAAAGCCTTATTCAATCTTATGCAATATTGTTCTCGAGAACACTTCTTATCTTTGAGCTCAATACCCTCTAGAACTTTCATATAAATCTCATTATCCAGTGGACCATAAAGATATGCAGTAACTACATCCATCAGGCGTAAATCCAAGCCTTCCTGTACGGCCAGACTGATCAAATATCTCAATGTAGTTGCATCCACCACAGGGGAATATGTTTCCTCATAATCTATTCCTGGTCTTTGTGAGAATCCTTGTGCAACAAGCCGTGCTTTATATCTCACTACTTCTCCATTCTCATTTCTCTTCCTTACAAAGACCCACTTATGTCCAACTGGTTTGACATCTATAGGTGTCTTAATAATAGGGCCAAAAACGCCTCTCTTTCTTAATGAATTCAACTCCACGTTTATGG